CCAAAGCCTTCAAGCAGATTGTGGTATTTTTGGAAATAGTCTTGGGAGACCTAAATACATTAATTAAATTTAACAGAAGATGCAGTTAAATCTCCTTGACTGCTTCACACATCTCAGTTGTTATTTGGTGCTCCAACCATCCTACTCCAAGTTTCTGGTAGTCCCCACATGTACAATTCCTGTCCCCTTTCCCAGTGGAGCTGTTAGTGCACAGGACAGCAGAAGATTAAGGAAGCTCAAAAGAAGCATAATCTTCAACTTATTCCACCTTTCAAAAAAATGAGATGTGTCCTAAGACACTCCCAGTGCATCACTACTGTGCTTTTGCCTCCAGGTATTTTCCTTCAAATACCTCTCTTTTAAAGTGAAGAGTCTATACAAAGCACTGAAGTAATTATAAAACTAATGGAGCACGTGAAATCAGAATAATTCAGTATACAAATAAACTAACACTTAATAGAATAAGTTTTTGATTTTAGCTAAGCTGCAAAAAAAGTGAGCATAACATGATCTGCACCAGAGAAGGACTGATTTTGTTTGGTAATTGGGCTACATTTTGGGTTTGATTTGTTTAGATTTAGGAAGTTGCCTTTGATTTAAATACTCTTTTTAAGACTATAACTTGATAATCAAATTCGAATATGTAGAGAGATGCAAAGGTTTAGTCGTATTTAATGCAGTAACAATGATTTTACTCAGAATCAGGCCAGACAGAGGGAAGAATGGGCTGGTACATTTTTCAGCAGAAAAGTAGAGAGCCAATGGCACAGCAGCCTTCAAAGAGTAAAGAAATCCTAGCACTGACTGCCATTCTGTTGTCAATAAATACCAGGAGAGCTGTAAGAGTTTAAAGAAAACAGCATGTAAATTTTCAGCTTAAAAGATGCATATTTATTACACTAAACAGGCAACTTCTGACAACACTGTCAGTATTTTACATTCTTAAACATGGCCTGTTCTTGTGGCAGTGACTAGAAATCCCTATTTATCCAGTACAGAACAGAATGAGAGTTAAATCCCTCCCAATACCTTCAGTACAGGAGTGGTTCAGTCATCCCTGATGGATCAGGACAGGGGTGGAGGCAGAACTATATGGCCCAGCAGCAATGTGTGACCAAGTCCTCAAGCCCTGCTCTGAGACTTGGCAACTGCAGGCTCAGTAAACACTGATCTTACATCCCAAACATTACTGGACTGCCGGATTGAAGAGCCTTACCCTGGTATCTGGTAGGAATGGGACATTCGTGTGGGATCCAGGAGGCTTTGTACACTTGCACTGCAATGTCCACATCTCTCCTTTACACAGCCTGATCTGCAGGAGCTCAGATGTCTCGTCAGGGAGTGGCAGCCACCCAACCAGGGTACTGCAGGTTACACAAACTGCATGGGACTGGGGTTAAATACTAAATATTGAACACTTACACTGTTGCAGATAAGCTGTTTGACCGAGCATATTACACAGGCCAAGGCCACACCTTTGGGCTGCAGCTCTGATGTACCCAGGGGATGCACTTGAGCCAGTGACAGGTGACAGCTTGGAACCAACCCCAGGCTCCAGGCCAAGTCTGAATCCCTCCTATTAGGACTGCAGAGGATTGGCTGTTCTAGTGTATTATTGTGCCCTTTGCAGAAAGCAAAGTTACACAGTGACATTTTGCATAGGTGTGAAATCACGAACTGGGGACAGGAACCTGCATTTCCAACTGGCAGCGACTCGCAGAGTTTTGTGAGGCACTAATCCCTGTTTGGCAGTACTGCCGTGAGCCACTTGGGGAGCACGGACAGAGTGCTGAGTCATAAGTCCAGCCTAACCCGGAGCAAACCTCCAAAAACGCTCCTGAAACGTCCCTGAGCCTACAGCCCCTCTGTTCTGCGTGACCCCTCCTGAACAGCCCTGCCCAGACACCCTGTGTCTGCAAAGAGTCCAGCAGCACCTCAAACACCACTGACCCAGGCACGTTTTAAAATAGGCTATATTTTAACAGAATTTTACTTGCTGACATTAAACAGCTGATCTCTGTTCCCGATGGGCTGAAAGGACAGGCTGGCTTGCCCTCCTGTGAGGTGCAGGAGGCAGTGCCTGCAGCACGAGCATGGCACTAACGCTGTATCACACAGCACCAGGCAACAGGGGCCACAATTCCACATATCCCTGACCAAGTTTAAATCTAGCAGTTCCTAAAGTCAGAGCCTTGAATGTTGCAATAAATTCTTGGCAGATTGTTTGACTTTATCTCTTAGGTTAAAAAAGAAAAAAAAAAGAAGAAAAAAAAAGGGGAAACATAAATGTCATGTATAACAACAGTTACCAATAAAGTCTGAGATGTAAACCTTTAGTTGGATGATTTCTCCCCTGGGCTGCAGATCTACAACAATCAAGAAGTGAAGGAAGCCACTGAAGGCAGTGAAGCTCCTGTTTCACATGGCATCAAAGACCAGGGAAACGGGCACCTCCAGGCACCTAATGGTGTCCAGCCTCCCACGACTTGCAGCTGCATTTCAGCACAGCACATGCTGCTGCTATTTTGGAGCGTGTGTGCTATGGTGGAGGAGATGCAAGGCGGGAGGAAAGACAACCCCTGCTCATGTTCACATGCTGTGAAAAAAAAAAAAATTCCAGCATGAAAAACTCCTTTGATATTTTTTTTTGAAACAAGACACAAGCACGGTGTTTTGAAACAGACCTCCAGCCGAATTTAGAAGGTTCGCTGCAAACCAAGGGGATAAAAAAGCTGCTTTAAAAAGGTCTTCAACCCTTTACAAGCAAAAGTAGAGGCCAAGAGAGAGATGGTTGCAACCCCACAGTGACTGGGACGTGTTACAGAAGAAATCCTCATTCACTTATTCCCAACATCCTCCCTCTAGATTTTATATTGAAGAGCTACACAGAGCACTCAAACAGCACAAGCTGTAACAATTTACTGCTTTTTCTACCTGTCTGCATTTTGATTAAGCCATTTATCCATTTCCAGAGTTTGAGACACTTGGTTCACAGTCCTATCTCATTTTCCTACATTAAGCAGGAGACCTTTCAGTGCACACCCTGAGGAAGCACACCCAGACCAGTCAGCAGCTCCATGACCTCTGCCAGGCTGGATCTACTCGCAGGGGGCCAAGCAACACTGGAAATAAATGCAACTATTCACTAAGGTGACAAAACCATTTCAAGCCCTACCACCAGGCAGTGTGTCATCACAAAGTCAGTAGGACAAGAAATGCTTAGAGCAGAATTTACTTCATGAGTACTTCAACTTGGGCTCTCCTGAACGAAGGACAGCGGTCAGCCCTGCTTGCTAGAAAGGACTGTAAGGCATTGCCAAAGCATATGAATGCTGCCCACAGCATTAAGGCTGTCTGAACATTAATATTTAAGGGTACTTTGAAACTAAGCCATTTAATAGGTGCTGTTAGTCAAGTAACATTTTATGCTATAAGGAGTATACGTTGCTGGCTAAATATCTGGCAACCAAAGTCACTATGGTTGGTTGATTTAACTTCCATGGCTACTGGTTGTTTAGCCCAGAACCTCAACTGAAAGAAAGGTAGACTGACAAACTATCTTTATTTCAAGAAAAAACAGAGTCTGACTGGATCTATTCCTACCTGCGCTGAAGTGAAAGAAGAAAAACAAGCCCTGAATCACAATTATGTCTCATTAGCCAAGTCAGTGCTAATTAAGGCCCCACTTTTTGCCCACCTGAACTTGGATTTGCTTGTTTGCTGAAAGCAGCTTTATCCAGAACAAGAGCTGATTTTCATCTGCTCATACTTAACACAAAGAATGTCAAAACAACAATAGTTTCCTTCTTAAGCATGTTTGATACTGCTGCCATAACAACTTCAGCTTACAACAAAGATATATTCATTCCATCCAGTGTTTATTAACATGCTGTTTGATAAACCCATTTCATAATATTAGTTCAAATATATTTACTAATAAAAACTGGTACAGACCTCTCCTATTTTTGAAAATGTACATGAAAGCTTTTTCTTAAAGGAGTATTGTTTTTGCCGGAAGACAACAAACGAATCCCTATTTTTAAAAAATAGCATGTTTGCCAGAAAATAAAGCGAAGCCATAAAACACCTCTGACTCTGGTCGCATAAATAAACTTGCTGAATGCTTATTTGTAATCCCAGAATATTGTATTACAGCCCTGCTGTCACGCTGCAAGACAGGAATTTCAGTGCCAGCGAAAGCCCAAACCCATTCAAGACTTTTATTTAGAAAAAGGATGGATTTATCCAAATAGCTCGCTGAATTATAATAGCAATAACAATAATAATAAGCATAAAAAGGTAGGAAGTGCTGCCCAGCACCTGGCCAGAGGCTGGAGAGAGACAAGGTTGAAACAACCCCACAGTGACTGGGACATGTTAAAGAAGAAATCCTCATTCACCACCTTATTCCCAACATCCTCCCTCCCTCTGATTTTATACAGAACAGCTACACAGCGCACTTAAACAGCATCAGAGGCAGCAATTTCCTGCTTTTTCCTTTTGGCTGAGCCCTTTACCCGTTCCCAGGGTTTGTGACAGTGGGTTCCCAGTCCCACCGCTGTCCTACATTGAGCATCAGATCCCTCGGCCGGGGCCGCTCACACCCCCCGGGCAGGGCAGCGGGTGCCCGGGGAACCCCCCGGTCCGGCCGCTCCCCCGAGGGGTCCCCGCCCTGCCGGGCGCTGCCCCGGGGAAGGTCAGCGCGGGGGGAGCGGGTGTTCCCTGTGCAGGCGGCGGCCGGGACCCCCCCGCGCCGTGTCCCCGGGCCGCCCTGGGCGCTGCCGCAGCCGCCCGCGAAGCCGGGGGGCGGCCCGGGGGGACCCCCGCGGGGCTGAGGGGGCCCGGCGGGGCGAGGGCGCGGCGCTGAAGGACATTTTATCTGCCGGCGGTGCCCGGCCCCCGGAAAATGGCTGCCGGGGAGCGGGGCCGGAGCGCGGCCGCGCCGCCCGCCCGGCGCGGGGAGCGGCGGCGAGCGGGGGATGGCGGCGGCCGCCTCCTACCTTTGAATTTGAGCTCGTGCTGCGGTTCGAGGCTGAGGACCTGCTCCGCTTTCGCCATGTTCCTCCTCCTCCTCGGCGGTGGCGGCACCAGGCGGAGAGAGGAAGGGACGGGGAGGGAGGGGAAGGAAGAGGGGAGGGAGGAAGGGAGGGAGGAGGGAAGGCGGGCGGGGGGTGCGCCCGGCTGGTTGTTCACCCCTCGGCCGGGCGCTGATTCACCCTCCGCGGGGGTTCTGGTTCACCCTGTCCCAGCTGCTCGTTCTCCCTGTGCCGGCGGCGGAGCGGGGACGGCGGGCGGCGCGGTGGGGCGGCGGCTCCGGCGCACACGCTGCCCGGGCAGGGCGGGCGGAGGGCGGGACGATGCAGCACCGAGGGGCCCGCGGAGAGGCTGCGGCGGCGGCTGACGTGGGGCCCGGCCCCGCCGTGAGGGGACGCGGGGGAGGCTCCGCGCCTCCGCTCCCGGGCGCTGCTCCGGCTGCGGGAGCCTTGCGGGAAGAAAGGGGTCTAATTGGTGTTTAGTCGCCGCTGGAAATCGTGATTTGTACTCGAATCCTCTTGTTGCCGAGGAGCAGCGTTACTGTAGGCCTGTGCGCCGTATGGCCTCGGGGCTGCAGGGACAGCCCTCGGGCACATCGCCGGCCCTGCCTGGCTTCCAGCGCCTTCGACCAGGCACAGGCAAGGGAAGGGAAGCGCTCCCGGGAGAAGGAGGAGCTCTCGGATCTCCAGAAGCTGCTTCGTGCGGGGACATCCCGGGGCAGGTCCGGGTGAGGGACCAGGGCAGCCCTGGGAACGGGCATCAAGGCACAGGAAACGCTCGCTTTTTAATAAATAAAACCAGAATTTCACGTCGTCTCAGCGATTTTAAGACATCCTCCTTCCCTTTCCTTAGGGCTTTTGTTTGTTTGGTTTGAGGTGTTTTTTGGTTGTTGTGTTTTGGGGATTGTTTCATTTGCATTTAGTTTTGTTTGGCTTTTACTCCAGCGGTTTACAATATTTTGTTTTAAATTTACAGCTTGGTTTATTGCTAGCCTTAGGCCAGTGTAATTACAGTAAGAGTTGCTTTTTTTTTTTTTTTTTCCTCCTCTCTCTTCTCAGGTTGTTATAAACATTTGAAAAGTTCCTAAGAGTTTATGAAGCATTGCTGTGACCTGTCAGAGGCAGGAGTTTGGGGTGCCTGTGGTACCAGCACAAACATGCTGGTTTAAAAACTGGTAATTTCTATACACCAAGAAGTATTCATTAGGCAGCTGACCTTTATATATTATAAACAGGACTTCTGGAGGAGATCCCATTTGCAGAGATAAAAAGCTTCCAAAGAACAGCAACTCAAAGTACCCAGTTATGTTGGATCCTAATCAGGGCTGATGAGCAAACAGATGAGAGGTGAATAAAAATATGTTAAGATTAACACCCCTGAGCAGGACAGTGACATTCACTGAGCACATCTGCAGTGTTTACATCTCACCCTTCAGCTGCTCCTGTCCATGACAATCCCTGGTTTTCAGCTCATCTGCTTCACCACCTCCAATCCCATTTCATCATTTTTGTTCCAAGATGTCTTTCATTCCATGCCAAACCAAACCCATACATGTGTTTAGTATAAGTCTTGGTTTTTCATAATACAAGTGAAACCTGTGAACTCCTTCCAGCCAGGAGAGCAGGACCAATTTTTAGAAGCTTCAGCAATGCAGGGAATTACACTCAAATACTGCTCTTCTTCCCTGAATTCCTTCTCTGTTGGAGAAAGGATGGTCACACAACAGGATAGAGGAGTGCATTTTCTTTTCCAGGTCCTTGCTATTCTATTTTGCTTAGTTAATTAGATTTGGAGCCTTGGATGTTCTTGGCTTATTATTTTTGCTACTTGAAGGGGGTTAATTTTTAGCCTAAATTACAGGTTATGTCATAACATTTTAGTTCTCAAGTCAGGAGAGAACTGACTTCAGTTGTATTTTGGAGTAGAGCTTTCTTGGCTCATACTGTGAAAAGGTTATCTTCTTTCACCTTATCTCTTAGGTTTTATGTCATAGACAGATTCTCTCTCTGAGCCAGGCATTCTTAGACCAGTAATTAGTAGAAAAGACAAGCTTTATACATATATGAGAGTTAATTGCAAGCTAACGGTGAGGAATAAGAGAGGAAGCTTTACACAACATATAGTCACACATAATAAAAAAACCCCTAAATAAACAACTATTAAGTGTTGCTGCCCAGACCTTTCCAAGTTCTACTTTTCCTGAAAGAAGTACAAAGAACACCCTGAAGCGTTTGATGATCCACATCTTAAAGGGCTGGCCAGGATGTATCATCTTACCATAATTGGCACTTACCTGCTTGTGTTTGAAGGACTCGCCCACATTTTCATCCAGGGTGAAGTTTTTATAAAGCACAGCATTGTTTAAGCTGAAAATTTATGAAGCCCAATGAATGTCGGGTTTTTGTTACATGTAAATAATGTGTGTGCATTTAGTGTTGTGCAGATCAGGTTCACTGAAATAGGTGTGCATGGAGGTCACCTGCAACACTTGTTACCCAGCCAGCACTCACTGTAACAATGCAGCCACAAGAAGGCAACTTGTTGCCCTGGTGGGTTTTTGATTAACAGGAGAAAATCGGGATGAACACTGCAGGGAAATGCTGGAGAGCATCAGAAAGCTTTGCACTGCAACAATCTTGAAGAACAGTTTTAGCTGCTAAAAAACTTCTACCTTAAAAGCTATGAAACACTTGATCCAAGTAAAACATTCTCATTGTGTGTGTGCAAATCTGGTGGTTAGCATTTAGTTCCCTAGATTCCCTATGCAAACACATGCAAATGTGCCTTTCTCTCTATTTTAGCACATTCCTCGTGTCTACCTTTCTTACGCTCCCTTTGGCACATTCATGCCATTTTATACAAACACATTTGACACTCTTCAAAAAGCAGTTTGCACACATCTAAGAGGGAACTTCAAACTAGCAGGTAACAGTAATTTTAAATTATTCCAGGTCTGTTGAAAAGATGACAGTGTGTGTTTCCTGCATAGGAAATGCAGCCACTTGCTTAATAAAAACTTGTATCCAACACTTTCAGGTGAAACAGCAGTTCAGAAACAGGACTTTTTTGTTTACTTACCTTTTGAAGGCTGTTATTAACTCAACATGTTCGACCTGCATCACAGATTGCAACAACAAAAGCACATCTTTTAAGCATCACATAAGACAAATGAGGTAACTGTAGCCAACTCCCTATTTTTGGGCTCCACATAACCACCAGAGCAGTGGTTTAAAAAAAAGCAAGCTCTCAACCAGCAGGCTGTATTAACAACTGAGAAGGATCCCCTCCCAGCACGACGGGCCCCCATGACACTGCGCAGATATTAAAAGCACTTTACGGTTTTGATTGACAGAAACCTGGCCTAAGCAGCCAAGAATTTTACATTTCATGCAGCCTAAGGTAAAAAGCAATGTATTAAATAACTTGGCCCTGGCAGAATTTGTCAGGCCTTGCCCTGGCTGACAGGACTGTGTGTGGCCTGCAGTTTCTCAGACACGATGCTGCAAAGAAGGGAAGTGTTACACAAAAGCTGCATTCTCTCTGCTGTTTCCCCCCATCCCTTCTTTGCACAAGATCGTCTCCTGCCTTTGTCTGTGTATACATAAACCAGGGAAAAGCTCCAGTCTCTGAACGACCAGTAGTCAGTACTTTTGGAAAACAGCTATCTGAATAGTTTGTAAATGCTATTTTAAAAGCTATTCCTGACATTCCTCTTCTGTAACCCTATTGCTATAGAGACTATTTTTTAAGATGTTGAGAATTTTGGAAGCATTTATAAACAAAGCCAGCACATTTATAAACAAAGCTTTTTATTAATAAAATGTTTACACCTTTTCTTTTTTTTTTTTTTCTTTTGCACAATACATCAGACTGGTAGTGATTTAGCATGTTATTACACTATAAAAGTTTATTATGAATGCTTAGGCTGAAAAGGCTGTTTACATTATGTCAAATCAACATTTCTTTATTTGCATTCTATGCACTATATGGGAGTGTAACAATTCAAACAAAAAGGAGAGAACAAAAGCCTGGTTTTCCTCATTAGCATCTACAAACCAACAATACAGACAAACCTGTACACGCTCTCAGGACCAGCCCAAGAGAAGACTAAAAAAAAAGTCTCAAAACATTCATAAGCTTGGGAATTCATCACTACAATATTTCACCACTAGTAATCTGACTACACTTCATGCAGTGAAGCAATGGCTGGGAATTTGTGCAGTTTACAGTGCTGCAAACGCTCTGTAACTTTGAGCGGCTTGAGTTTGTTTCAGTAAGAGAGAATATAATAAGAAGGCACAGACCTTTCAACCCTTGTGACAGGTTAACTCAATCCTAGACTGAAAAGGCAGAATGTTCTTATGAGGGACAAGAATTGCTGATACCAAGGTTAACCTTCACACCTAATTTTACAGGCAAACATTTATTACACTGCAAGAGCTATCTGCATATCAGGTGATTTTTGTGTCCTGAAAACACAAATGCAAAGTTTCTCGTTGAGAAGAAACCTTCTTTTTTTTTTTTTTAAATTCATTGTACTCACTGTGGGGGGTAAAAGTGGGAAGATAGCCAGGAAGTCTTAAGTGTCTTGCAGCTCCAGAAATGTGATCCATTTCTGTGCCTTAAATCAATTAATTCACTGTCACAATGTCACTGCTGGACACACAATATTCAGGAAGAGGAAGTACAAAAAAGGAAGTTCAAATACAGAAGAGTTTACACTGTGTTACTAGAGCCTTACAATAATTTGCTCCTTCAGATGAATGTGCTTTTAGCCTTCATTATGTGGTAAAATACAGTCGTGGTGCAGCTCTCAGCTGCTGTAACAGTTTCCTAAAGCTGTACTAATGAATTTCTACTTTGCTTACAGATATTTGCTGTTGTAGCAGATACTTCCAGAACCTTTGTGGCAAAAAAGACACTCGCCAAAACTATTCCTGTCGAAACCCCACAAGGAAACAAAGAACAAATTGCCAAGAAAACATAATGGATTTAATAGGAAATACATATTGTAACATGAGTAGAAGTGAGGCAAGACAGTAGCAGTGAATCTGCCAAGGTGTCAGAGTTACAGCATGACCAAGTGCAACAACTGGATGGAGAATCACACCCACACCGGGAAGTGTGTGACAGGAGGAGTGGTCTGTGCCCTTCAACATTGGCAAAAGAAGTAGCAGTTGGTTTGTTCCATAATACTTCTGTGAAAACATCAATAGAAACAAAGCAAAGGAAACCCCAACCTTCTTAAAAGAAGACCTTTACAAAGGTAATTAGCTCCTT